ATTGCTCTAAAAAAAAGATCGGTACAAGACAATAACTGAACTGATGTCCAGTTTGACATGTCAAGCATATATCTCCACGTCAATAATAATAATTCAAGAATTTCCATCTTCATTCGGTTATCACGTTTTTCCGAAACCATATGAACTGTAACAAAAACTAATGTTTCAAACATCATATTCAAGGGATCTGAACATCTGAATCGAGACAAAGATCAGTTGAATTAAAGCTGCAAAGTTCCTGAGACTTCAGGATTACATGGTCTTGTATAGAACTAACACAACTATCACTAGATCAGATAATCTAGCAGACAACTAAAGTGTCTTTTTCTTATTAGATTTAAGTTTCTATGGAAAAGGCGATGACTAGATTATTTTTTTTAGTATTAGAAACTGCATATTATATTACTAAAAAAATGCATCCACTCAATCAACATTTCACTAGTTACGCCGTAAAAATACTGACAAAATTAAGGCTTCAAATTCAAACCATCCACGACGGGATAGACCAGACAAAATCTATTGCTCATAAAGATGACAAAATCTGAACAAAATGGTTACTGAAAAGTAACTATTTTTCCCCTAGATATTAGTATTGGTTGTCGTCCAATGAAAAACAAAGTTTCATATGATCTATAGAAATGAGCATACACTGATGCAGGGGGAAAAACATTATGAGCAATAAGCTGATGCAATTGATGGCATGGGCTTGGAATTCTTGGGGCGGAGGTTGAGGGGGAGCTGCAGCTTCTTGTACACCACCCGTAGATCTAGCATAGGAACAATGGTTTCACCAAATGCAAGAAGAAGGTCTGAAGGAGGTGTGGAAGGGGAAGGAGAACAGATGTACCTGGAGGAACTAAAGCCATGACTGAAGTCGGCTGGGAGCAGCCGCCGCCGCCGCCGTCAAGAACCCTAGAAACAAAAAAAAATGGATAGGGAGGAGAAGGTGAAGGGAGATGAGGTGGAGGAGATGGGGGAGGAGACTTCGTACCTGGACCCAATGAGGAGGCGGTCGGGGCGACGCCGTCGAGGAGGCGGCGGACAGCTCGAAGGAGACGACGGCGGACAGCTGGAGGAGCGCCCGCACGCGTGGTCGCGATTCCACACCTCTCGGGTGGAGATTTTTCTCTCACGCGTGGATTGACGTTTTTCGCGGCGCGATCCATTCCAATACTCGCACAGCCAAATGCGATTTTCGGCCGAGCGTGGGAGCTCACCCCGACGTGTGCTGTCATCCACGGAGTCGGGGTTTGAGGCCTCGTACACTCAGCTACGCTGCATTTCAATCCACTTCCAACACAGGTAACACACGTGGATTAAAATAGATATACATGACTTTAGTTAGTCAACATTATAATCTTTTTGTTAATTGTGAAGATTATTAGAATTTCTACAGTGCGTGTTTGATTATTTTCCCCTTAACCTTGTGTTTTCTAGTACAATATCTGGAACCGATGTATACTCATCCTTGATTTAAGTGTGATTGTGAATGTTTTTTTTTATGTTCCTCCTGTCATTGGGAAAAGAGAATGAGAAATGAACATGGCAAAGTGTAATGCAAATGGCAGCGTGTGCACGTTTTTAGTATAAATCGAGATCTGTTGAATGAATGAATGGAAGAAACGTATGTACTTTTTGTTTGTTAAAATGTTTGAATGTAATTATGGTTTCTTTTTAACAAAAGAAGAATTTATCTAACAGTTGTAAGAATGTACTATGAGCATGTAATGTATGAAATTGTGACATGCGGGATAGTTTTAGCAGACTCATTTTCTTTAAATTATGCCATCTCTAGGTACAAATTTGGTACAAATTTGTTGAAACGTTTGTGACGGAGCCAGAGCCGGAGCCGGAGCCGTCCGGAGCCGTGCCAAGCAGGTTCACCGTGTCCGTGTGAACTGAATTGTGTGTGTGGCGTAATCCTACTGGCGTGGTGACATGTGCCTTCTGGCTGGCTACTGGGTAGGGCCTACGGCCAGGGGGCTTGAGTCCTGACTCCACGTCTCTCTACCTGCACAAGGGATCTCAATCTACCTACACTATTAAGGGTGTGGTTAATTGAGGAGGCGAAAATTTTTTGGTGTCACATCGAATATGTCGGAAGGATGTTGGGAGGGGTTTTTAGATACTAATAAAAAAAACAAATTACAGAACCTATCAGGAAACTGCGAGACGAATCTAATGATACTAATTAATCGGTCATTAGCACATGTGGGTACTGTAGCACTTAAGGCTTTTCATAGACTAATTAGGCTTAAAAGATTCATCTCACGATTTTGCCGAGAATTGTGCAATTAATTTTTTTTTATCTACATTTAGTACTTCATGCATATGTCTAAACATGCTCTTTTACTGTAGGAGGCAAAAAAAATTTGGAAACTAAACAGGGCCTAAAAACACTGCTCGTTATCATCTCTGCAATCACAAATGACCCCGCCCCTTGCAATTACGCCCCGCTAACCACCTGGAGCCACGCGTTCGACCCCGCCCCGCCGGTCACAGCCGGCCCCAGAATCATGTATAAGGAGAGCCGATAAAAGAGTTTCAACATACGAGAACTTTATGTATCTTAATTGATTAGATTGTTGCTCAGTTAAGCTCTATTTTTCTGAATTTATTTTAGTATTTGATGATTTAACATGTTCGCTATTTTCCCGTGGTAGACAACCGTGTCTATTGGCATTGGAGCGCATATGATGACTAATGTGAATATTAAAATCTACCGGCTTAGTATTTCGGAATTGCTCATGCTTATGGTAGGTGACCGTTTTGTCGACAACACGGTGCATGTGATGACTCGGGAGTCCTAAAATCTACCATCTTAGTATTTCGGGTTGTGTGTTTGTTCGTAGAAGTGGGTGTGCGTGCATATATGTGAGCGTCTACATAAATAATGCAATTCACAGTAAAAAGAGATGATCACCGAATTGTTATTGCTAGTCAAGTATATGTCAGTAAAATATAAAGTATAATGCAACATAAGTACTCTAGTAGAACAAAAAATTTCAATAGATATATATGTCCTAACATGGTAGACAAACAAAATTTAGATAGATCAAAATATTTATTGTAATCGTATTATATTCAATTTTGCTGTCTAGAGGATATATTAGTAGACATATATAACAAGATGTTATTTATTATACCCTTTTAACATAGACATAGACTATTAAACTCTATATATTATAAAAAGTTTGTATTTTTTTTTTGGGGGTGGATGTGGCCCCCCTGAAGTATTCCAGCGCCTGCTTCCAGCACGACGGCAGCCTCCTCTAGCGGCGACGTCCGCGGCGGTGGCCTGGCCTTTGTCGCGGCGACGCCTTATCCACCTGAGTAACACAGCGAAGAGATCGAGCGGCATGTACGCACCGACGATGGCGGCCAGGGCAATGAGGCATTTGTCGAGTGTATTAAGTTTTATTTTACTGCTGGCGACGGGGCTGCATATGCTCCCGGAGGAGAGGCTGTGGCTCGTCTTGCGGGTGCCCGAGAGGTTGTGGCTGGTGCGGGTGCCTGAGAGGTTTCGCGTCCCGGTGCCCCGTGGCGGGGCTGCAAGGCGTCGGCCGTGTGGAGCAGCAGGCCACTCCGCCGGCGCCGGCGCCACTGCCATGCTGAAAATGAGGCATAACACTACGAGCACTCTCATTACTTTTGAGAGACGACTGAGACGACTGTTGTGTACGTGGACAGTATACATACATTTTATAAGCTATTAAAGGGGAGGCGCTGTCGGAGTCATATGAGATATTGATACCTCCTATTGGCAGTCCTTATTACTAAACCTAAATCACAGCTGTTCAACAAACTCGACCGTACATGTGTGAAAGATGCGGTCATTGTTCTTCGTAGTTCCAGCGGTGCGCCTAAGTGCGGGTCTACCGCATCTGCAGAGCAGATCAGGTGGAGAGGTTGGAATCACTGATCTGGAGGTGGAATTAGGAATAATTGATGCTCAGTCACAGAGTAGCCCATTCACCTTTTCTAGGAACTGTTCCTGCACAAAACCGATATACACACGTACTCTATTTCATAACCGGTTGATGCCTATCGGTCTGGTCACTGCTTTGCTGTATTTAATCGTTATAAGTGCCACTGAGCTTGTTAAAATGTGTTTTAAGCACAATATACAGGAGGTCCTTGTGCATCATATATCCCAAAGGACACGAACGACAGGTGTACGCCCCCAAAATTATTTGGAACCACAACGAAGGCATTCAACATTAAAAGTGGCATAGTTTGGTGATACACTCCTTGAACTGGGCTAGGTAACCTGTTCAATCATGGGAACATGTTTTTCTTTACGGTTTTAGGATATTTTAAAAATTGTGAGATATAATACCTGGTTTACATTTCAAGCACAATTTTAGGCCAACAAGCCTAACAGGCTAACACAAGCAGAAAACAAAAGGAAGAAACATGTAGGCTGTTGAAGGATGCCGCCCTGTTTTTCAGCACTAAGTACTTTTTAGTGAACGAATATTATTTTTCTCCCACAACAAATCAGCATAAGCCAAATTTTAGCGAAACGAACAAGGCTGCACTACTATAGAAGGAATAGAATTGAGTTGAATTGGATGATTTGCATGACTTAAGGGCAAGCCAACACATGGGATCATAATCCCAACTATATATTGGAAAAGAAGCCAAGGTGGAAGCCAATGATCTAGCAATCCCTCACAGCTGAACTATCAATGTGTTGCCGATGGGCGATGGGGCACAAATGAGGCGCCATGGTGATGACAGACATGTCAAGGCAATTGTCACGCAAAGGGCCGATGCTGAGACGCAGGTGTCGCAATATGCATGTGAGAATATAGCCGTGTATTACAACACATCCAGCACATTATTATACGTACAAATCATACAAGCTATACCTTCTAATCAACCTGATATTACACCACCCAAACTCTCGTATGCAGTTACACCAGATAATGTACTCCACAATGGTAAGATCCAATGGAAAAGAAACAAACAAATAGTTGCAGCAACGACAAGATGACTTATTGAGGCCTGTAATAGTTGCTCTGGTGCGGAGGGTAAGCCCCAGGGGCATTGTACGGTGGCTGTGGATATGGCGCAGATTGCTGCGGCTGAGGGGCATTGTAATATGGCCCACGCCATCCAGGATATGCCGGCTGACCGTAGTCATGGCCAGGAGGCGGCTGGTGCGCTGGCTGCTGGTACTGACCAGGGTGTGGTGCACCATATGGAGGCTGTTGTGCTGGCGCCCCATAGGATGGGGGGTATGGCTGCGAGTATGCAGGTCTTGGCTCCGGTTGAGAATATCCAGGCCTTGAGTCTACCCCAGGTGTAGAGGCATAGGGAGCCTGCGAGTATGCAGGTCTTGGCTCCGGTTGAGAATATCCAGGCCTTGAGTCTACCCCAGGTGTAGAGGCATAGGGAGCCTGAGCATGCGGCGGTGGTGATGGGCTGCTCTGATCAGGTGGTACAGAAGCATTCCTCTGCAAAGAGGAGTGGCTGGAGGATGAGAAGCTGAAACCCGCTATCTTCCTCTGCACATCTTCGATCATTTCACGGCATTGAATGTTTCGGGTCATTATAAAGTCACTGCACTGCTGTTTTATTTTGCCTATTGCTTCCTGTACACAGGGATCATCCCAAAATCAGTAGCCCATTCGAGAGGAGACATCAGCATTCCTATGTTAAATGCAAATGGAACAATATGAAAATGGAAATGCAATCACACCTGTAAAGTCACATAAAAGTTTAGGCCCTCGTTAATGTTCTTTTTAAACTCCCGGTATTTAGCAACAGCAGCAGCGATTTGCTTGTAACATCTCTCACGAGCAGCTGAAAAAAAGGAGTTTAACAAATCAAAGTTACACATTAGCTTTGCACAAAGAAAAAGAATTACACATTACATTGTTCGAAGATCCAACTCCTAAATCTAAAAAATAATAGCACCTGTAAACCTGGGAATGGTTTGGTCCAAAACCGGATTTTTTGGTTTGGTTTCTTATTTGGGCCTGTATGGTTTGGGTGAAAATGGGCTGGAGAGTTCAATGGTCTGGTTCGGCTTGGGGTAGGAGTTGCAGTAGTCTGGTTCGGTTTGGAATAGGTTTCATCGGTCTCCCAACGCCCGATGCCTCTCCGTTGACGCGCCGCCTAGCGACGCCTCTCTCGACGGATCTCTGAGTCCGACGGCCGGTGCTTGTCTCCCCAGCTTGACGTCCAGCACCTCCTCTCCCCAGATCCCACAGCTTGCCGGCCATCGGAGGGAGGCGGCAGCGGCAGATCCCCATCAGAGGGAGGCGAATCTGAGCCGTTACCAGCGCCGACGGTCGAGCAGCTTGGTCCCGGCCGACGGCGACGTGCAGCTCCTGCTTGGTCCCGTGCACGTAGCTGCCGAAGGAGATGCAGAGCAAGCACCCGGCCGGCTGCATCAAGAGTAGTCAGACTCCGCCGACATGGATGTGGCCACGGTGCTGCGCACGAATCCCGCTGGGCTCAACGGAGGTGGTGTCCGGTCGTCTCCTGCAGGTACAACATGACCTCGCTGGGCTCAATAGACACAGCGCCCGCCATGCCCTGAATCCACGCCCGGCACACGGCGGCTGCGTCACCAGCGCCATGCATGCGCCACGAAGATGAGCAGCAGGGGCATGGAGATGGAAGAGCAATAGCAGAGCAGGATTAGTCATAGCCTGAAACTGTGGACTTTGAAATGGTTCACCGACAGACTGTAGTCTAGTGCGGGTTAAAAAATGCAACAGATGGGATTGGTTCAGTTTGTGCATGCGATTGAATGGACCGGAGTGGGCTGGTTAAGCTTTAAAATGTTGCGCCTGGTTTGGGGTGGGTTTGGTTTGGATCCCAGACCATTCCCAGGTTGGAGCACCTGACTGTGATAACAGTTCCATGTTAACAATGATTACAGGTTACCCCTCCGTTCAAAATTATAGGTCAATTTTTGTCCTAAGTCAAACTTCTCTAACTTCGATTGAAGTTTACAAGAAAATACATCAACATTTACAACAACAAATTAGTTTCATTATGTTCCCCATGAAATATGTCTTGACAGTGCATTTATTTGAACTTGTAGATGTTAATATATTTTCTAAAAACTTAGTCAAAGTTAGAGAAGTTTGACTTAGGACGAGAAAGCTAAAGTGACCTCTAATTTGGAACAGAGAGAGTAGAAATTAAGCAGAGCAGTATCAAATTTGAAGTTACTCCAGAAAATGGTGCGCACATGCAGGAAAAGGCATGCATACAAGCAACACCTAGCCTGCTAAGGAAGCTTATGGACAACTGAAGCAGACAAATTGCTGAAATTTGCACAAAAATGCCCACGAATCAATAACACTACCCAACCAGCTAGCGTGATCTAGGGAACCACTGTAATTGATGGGCTCAAGAATGGAAAGAACATTACCAAAATAAAATACTGCATGAAGCTATCATCCATAAGGCAAACAAATTAAAATTTTTTTTGTTAAAGTACAAAAGTGGAAATTGCAAAAGGCAGCGATACATCACATGTATAGTTAAAGCAGATAATTTGCTGAAAAAATCAGCACATACTCCCTCCATCCCTTTTTAACTGTTGCTCTCACTTCCCGAGAAGTCAAACATACTCAACTTTGATCAAATATATACAAGAAAATAATCAAAATATTAATATTTATGGTACACAATTAGTATCATTAGGTAGATTGTTGAATCTATTTTCATAACAAACTTATTTGGAGATACAAATGTTACTAATATTTTCTACAAACCTAGTCAAACTTAAGAAAATTTGACCAGCACGAATACTATAGCGACAATTAAAAAGGGGCAGAGGGAGTATACTCCTGAAGCAATAGCTGTAAAACCTTGTTGACATGAGGAAAATTACAATACCTAAAGAGCATGTTGTAACTTTTGGATTCAATGTATAAAGCAAGTTACAAAAGTAAATGTAAAGGCATTCTATCACAACTGTGACGCGAAGAAAAAATCCCAGAAAGGTTACCTTTGTAATCCTCTAGGTTGAATACAGCAGCAAATTGCTCGTTTTGTGCCTGTGCAAGGATCCAGTATCTAAGTGTCAGACACAATACGAAAGTACATGGCAAAATATAGGGCATTGGGCTCTTATAAACACTTCTCCCACTGTTTCTTCCTTTTTCTCATCTCTGGAGTCAAATCGCTCAATTGCAAAACAACGATGCTACTACTCAGTTCTAATACACATATGTTGTTGATAGAACTTTACGCAAATTTAACACAAAGAAAGTTTCAAAGGGGACTGCACCACCAGTATTTATCAGGTATTTCTGCTTACCTGTATTTGTAGCAATAATTGTTCCTGTGCCTCAATGTTATCAGCAATATCAGCACAGATAGGATCATACTTAGCCATCTCCTTCTTGAAAAGATCATCATGTGATCCCACACCAGCCATCAACTTAGGCAATATATCATCCTGGCAAAAATGGATCTTCTCAGCGCACTAAATACTATAGTATATGACCACATCGTCGGTTAATTATCACTAATTTCTAAGTAATGAAAGATGATGAATGAATTTCAGCTTAGTTGAAGGACTAACAAACTTGAAAACAATCCATCAGGACCACCATAAAATCTTGTCAAGTGGATTTTTTTCTCGAACAATTGCTAAGTGGAATTTGGAAGGGGCAATGCAAAGCAGAATATTACTAAGTAGAGCAACAACAGAATACACAAAGGCACTCATAGTCATAGGAGCCCACGATGAATTAGTACTAATACAGCACTCCAAGAAGTCAAGAACATTAAAACTTTAAGCATGATATGTTCACTGAGAAGGTAAAACAGACCCATGGCTTGTAATTTAATGCTAGCACCAGATGAAATGTATTCTACAGGTACGACCAAGAAAAATCTCGTGAAAAAAAGAACTATAATGAAAACTACAGGAACAATAGATGCACCTTTCTTTTCATTTCTTTGAGCATGTCTTCAAGACCTGCCCTTTGTGCTCCAAGAGACTCCAGTTGTCTCTGTTGACAAATAAAAGTAAGTTTTGCCAAGTTAAAAAAAAAAACAGTCTTACTACATATTCTACCAGTTATAAAAACTCATGTACATTACCAAGCTTTGTTTCAGGGCTCCAACAATGGCATCTTCATTACCATCCAAGGACATGATAGGCCTGGAAATACTTGGAAGTGCAGACTCTATCTGCGACAGAGAACAGGTACATGTAACTATCTAGATAAAATGATGATCACGGAAAAGAGTCACGGTTCATTGGGAAGCAAATAAAGATAAGTAATCCACTCAAATGTTAGATCCTAATTATATTTTTAGTTTCATGTTATATACTATTGCTAAACTCTCACCGGTCTTTTGTCAAGGATAGACATCAATGGATAGTTCTCCTTCACGCCTCGTTCAATCAGAGAATCACTATCAGCAGCCCTCTTGAGATTAGAAGCAAACAGATTCAATCTATCCTGAATATTCTTGGTTAGGGTGCTTGATTGAGGTCTAGTCCAACGACTCCCAAATTGTGTACGAAATTGTGCGTCTTCATTCGCCTCCTTCTGTAGAAGTTCTTCAGTCTGAACAAGTAGTTCCTGATTGACCCTGCTCAAATCCCTAAGCTGCTGCAACTCAGATTCTAAGCCAGCAGGGCCACCACTTATCTGCACAGCCTCTACGTCTTCCTTCAGATCCAAGGGCAAGGTTATATTTCCTTCCAATGAAAGAATAGAATCTGGTAAGTCCATTTCCTTCAGCCTGACTCTAGTGATCTCACTAGCTTGCTGTAATTTCTCTGCCTGGGTCCGGATAATATTATCTACCATCTCTGTGTACTTAGAGAGTGCTTTCATGCTGCCATCAGGCACAAGTGATGAAAAAAGCCTTTCCTTGCTGGCATCTAAAACTTCAGCCAAAGAGGTAGGCTTTACAAGGGACGCTGCAGGGAGGGCTCCCAAGGAACCAGCAGCTGGAACCCGCATCAGGTAAACACGCTCATTCTCCTTCATAGCCCTTTCCAAGTTGGTTTTCATGTTACTTTCCAGCTTGTTGACAGAATCCAGAAGCTGGGCAGCAACTCCCTTCGCAGCCTTCTTAGCATCTGCCAAGGCACTCATACCAATCTTTAAACGTGCAATTTCCTCAGCAATTTCTTCTTTCTGATGAAGATCTAATGAATACCTATAGCAAGCATCGGCGTAGAATTGAGCAGCTTTCAGCTGGACATGGGACACCCATGTCTTATCAAAGTGCTGACTTAGAGGAGGTGCACTGAGAGCTGCATATGCTTCTTCATAGAATATGCCCACCTGAAAAGATATGTGAACATGTAATGACGAAGAATTAGTTAGATAGCACATTGACACCAAAGTTTTGCAGAAGAAAGAACTGTTCGGCATCATGAATAAGAATGTGCTGTATTAATGGTAGCTAAAATGAACCGTGCAACTCATATACAATTAAGTCATCATATATAACTAAATCAAATCAATTGTAGGAACTAATCTCACAACTGGATACACACACGAACTTGCTTGCTAATTCCTAAATAAGATTCAATCAAACAAGTTAACCACCCCATAGGCCTATAGAATTATTCTAGAATTAGGTTTATCTTGATGTTAGATAAATGGACTTCCCTAGCTTAGGGTTCAGCATACTATAATTCTCTCTTAGTTATAAGTCCTCAACACTACAACATCGTGAATTCACTTATGGCTGGTAAACATATTGTAAATTGTAAATGCTTAAACAACTTAAGAAACATTCAGAGCTTTCATTCATTCCACATCAATCCAAACTAAGCTCCCATATCGCAAAACCTGAACTACAGGAAGTAACCACGCACCTGCCGCGCCACCTTGGAGCACAGCGCGGGTGGCTTCCCTCCACCTATGACCCTCTCGAAGAAGCACTCCTGCGCCTGCGCGAGCATGAGTTTCTCCAGCATGCCGGCGCACTCGGGCGTGATGTCCACGGTGGTGGCCCCCGCAGCGACAGCCTTGGCCGCGACCCCGCTCTCCCTGAGCCACGCGAATGCCCCCGCCGCACTCTGGAAGGCGCCGCACGCGGTCTTGATCCCGACGTCGGTGGAGCGGTCCGCGGCAAGCGCGATCTGGGCGTAGACGGCGCCGAGGTTGAAGAGCACGGCGGCCTTCTCGAGGTGGACGGAGGCGAGGGCGCACTTCTTGTTCCCCTTGAAGGCATCGTGCCAGGTGAAGGTGAGGGAGTGGACGTGGGCGCGGTCGGCGGAGATGGGGAAGCGGGGCTCCACGAGCGCCAGGGCCCGCGCGTAGGCGAGGAGCGCGTCGCGGCGCTGCTCCAGGGAGGACGGGTCCGGGAGGGAGGGCTGCTCGACAGCGGCGCGGAGGTCGCGCACCACGGTAAGGTCGTCGTCGGCCGCGGCGGCCTCGCGCTCCGAATAGACGGAGGCGATGTAGAGGCGCAGCGGGCGGTAGAGATCAGTAGCAGTCGTTTTCTTCTCGTGGATCGCGAGCATCACGTTAGAGGACCCCGCCGCCGACGCCATCGGGGCGGACGCGGTGGCCGGAGGCGGTGCGGAAGTGGAGGGGATCGGAGGATGGGGTGGGGTTGGGGACTTTGGGGGAAGGAAATTTGGGGAGTTGAGAGTTGTCGCTCTGGAAAGGCAACTAGAGGAAGGAAACTGTGGAAGAGGATGCTTCGCCGCGTCGAGGACGCTAGGTGCCTTGAGATCTGACCGACCTGCGGGGTTGCGGGCGGCGTGGCCGTGGGTCGAAGTCGGAACGGAACGGGGTCGTCGGTTTTGACCTCTACCACCTTATGATCCTAATATACGTGTAAACCTCACGTTTTATTTTTATAAGGGAAATAGGGAAGCAAGAGGAATTTAACCCTACTTTTTTATGGTACATAGAGATATAATGAGTTTACACATGACAATCATCATGAAACAAACAGAGAAACTAAAAAAATGATAAGATTACAGTTGAGCTTCTAGCCATTGCTCAATTAAAGATAAATATTTATTTTACCTCACTTTTATTTTTGAAGGAAAATAGGGAAGCAGGAGAAATTATCCCTACTTTTTAGAGTTCATAGAGAGATAATGAGTTATAGATGTTATACATGAAAATCGTCGTGAAACAACAAGAGAAACTAAGAAACTAGATAAAATTACAGTTGAGCTTCTAGCCATTGCTCAACTAAAGATAAATACTTATTTTACGCTCTGTAGTTAACCAAGCTGAATTCTTTCACTAAGATATATGTCTACATCTCTAAAGATTTGGTTGAACACCTCTGAAATAAATTATTTCTTGTTATCCAAACACTCGGCATGTAAGATCAATGACTTCCATGAAAAAATAAAGAGACATGAAGTTGGGTTTTGAAACTTCTAAAGATGTGTGTAGGCTACAGTGCATGAAAGAAATCTAACTCTAGAGGGTGAGCGAGGACAATCCTAGACATAACTCGGTTTCATCATTGCACCTCGAATTGGCGAGTTTATGAGATCGAATAGCTGAGAAGGACAGAAGGCCCTTTAACATTAGAAACCTCTAGATTGGATGTGCTAAAAATCAACTGAAATGACGCCTTTGACTTTGATGAGAAGAAGAGAGGTTGTGACTCTGTGACTACAGAGATAGCATGGGAGATGTAGTGAAAGACAATTGCTCTGCTCGGCTGGTACACAAAAGTACTGTGTACCAGCTGGTTTCGAATGATTAATAGTGTTCTGTGAGAGAGAATAAGCTGAAACAAGACGAGACAAGAAGAGCCGAACAGGCCCAATGCTCACTAATTACCAAACCTAGTGGGCGTGCTAAAATGGTAGCATGCAAAGCTATATGTGAGATAAGATTTAGCTCTGACCCCACTATCTCGCACCGTATATGGTAACTAAAGTAAGCACCCACGACACATGGTAACCCGGAGTGGTTGGCGAATCTCGCGACCATTGGCCACTTAATTTGGTGGCCAAGCTTCAATAATATAGCTAAAACTAAACAAAATAGGCTAAATTGGTTGAGATAGTGTGAATAAACCAAATACACTCTATGGAAGTGTTTGTTTACCTAGCCCAAGGTGATTGTATCGTGTGCACAGGCCCAAGACACACAGAGATCACATGGGGCAAGTGCAACCAAACCACCGCTCTTGCAGCAAACAGGCCTGGACGATGTTTGCTTGTCCACACGGTCATGCACTCAAGGCCAAAGTACCTTATATCAATTCCCTCATGAGACTTAGAGCCTGTTTGGATTCACATCTCTAAACTTTAGAGCTCTAAGACTCTAAATTGGTGGTACAAAATTAGCTCTAAACTTTAGTCCATTTTACATTAGAGCTTTAAACCTCAAAAGTGAGCTAAAGTACTCTAAAGTTTTTAGAGCTCTAAATTTTATAGGAGATGATCCAAACAGGTCCTTAGGCATGTTTTGATCCTCTCCTCCAAACTTTAAAGCTAAATCTCCAAACAGTTGATCTAAAATTAGCTCTAAACTTTAGCCCACATCACATTAGAACTTTAGAACTCAAAAGTGAGCTAAAGTGCTCTAAAGTTTTTAGAGATCTACAATTTATAGAGGAGAGGATCCATATAGACCCTTTAATCGGCAACATGCAAATCAGGTTGAGAAGAAACAGAACCTATCTTTTTATAGGCGCTTTACCAAACATACCAGCTTTTTTTTTCTTTTTTGAGACGACCAAAACAGCTTGGTCCGATAGGTTTCATCAGGTAAATAAACACGCGTGGGTGCAGACCGGTGGCCTGACCGACGCCTCGCTCAGGTAACCAACACAGGCCCAATATGGCCTTTGGAGCGCATAGGGCGGGGAGCGCATAGTGTTCGTGCCACGCTTCCTTCGCCCCAAGATGACACAGTTTAATGGGGCACGTAAGTCCATGATGCCGACCGGGTCAGGCCGTGTCAGCCGAGGCACGATGCCAACCGGGCCGGGCCGGGCCGGCAAAAAGAGGGTCTACTGCCAGCAGAGGCACGAGCACGTTTCCTCGTTCCACCTCTCACCACACCGCCGCCCGCCGCCTCCTGACGCCGTCTTCTCTATCTCCTCCGGCGGAAAATAGGTCCCGATCTCCCTTCGTTCTGGTGAGTCTATGCGATGCGCCTCCTCTCTCGGCGGGATTACCATGGATTTTGGGCGCGCGCCCCGAATCGTGGGGACTGGGGCACAGGCACGGATATGTTTCGCGGATCGTGCGTCCGGATCACCGCCGACTTGTTCCCTCCCCTCACGACTGGGCGCGCACATACTCCTCCATATTTTTTCCCCTGCACATGGAGATAGGGTTGGCCCTCCGCTGCCCAGATCCTCTCCATCCTGACCTCTTCTTCCTCTTCCTGCAGATCTTCTGTATAGCCAGCAAGGAGGCCTCTCCCCGGAGAAGCAAGGTAAACCCAGCTCGATTCCTCTCACATACCAGGCGCTCGCTGCATAGGTTCTCCTTTTTAGCAATGGAACAGACCAATTTTTACTTGTTGATATCATAAAAGTTTTCTATATATCATTATTAGGTTGGTTCTCTCTTCATTCAAGCACTTAGTTGCATGGGTTTGTCACAAGTGCAAGGTGTATTGTCTTGATGCCTTTTCAGTATTGGGAATCGCATGTCCTGCTCTAACTTTGAGCTTCTCTGAATTTTTTCCAATGTTAACTTAACCTATGCTACTATACAGAACACAGATGAGTTTTGAAGCTGTTTTTCATTTCGTACGTGAATTGGATAAGTATATGTCCATTTCTAATTGCAATTTATCATTGTTTAAATGGATGGTTTCGCTATCAAGCGGCTTAAAATTACTGCTCAGGCTGCTGGAGTTGTTACCTCAATGTATGCATAAACATTGTTTGTGTATAGGCATGCAGGACGAGCACCACCTGGCACCTATGGTTCCTTAGCTAAAAGAAACAAAATTATGATGGCAAACCTTAGGCATGAGGTGTCATACAGTCAAACTATTGTTGCTAACTTGCATTTTCCACGAATCATGAACCACTAATGGAACAAACTATAATCCTACTAAGGCCTGTTGACTCAAATGCATGAAGAGGATAAACATACAACGTTAGAGTTACCTGTGATTTTATTATAATACAAATAAAACTGAAGGATGTGACTTGTAACTACTTTTACAGAAGTGAACTTTTGGATATAATGATTGAAACACTGATAAACCATAGTATCATTAGTCGTTTACACAAAATCAACTATTCATAGGAACATGCAATGTAATTTCAATTTTCAATTCAAATACATAAGTAGTGTCAGGTTATAACACTTACTATTGTTGGGGGGGAGGGATTCATTTGAACTGAACAAAAAAAATCAATAGGAAAAAAAATCACAGCAAGATCCAGAGCAACACTAGGTGGATCAGACTTTTCATCCACTTTGATCCCAGGAAGGAACCTGGCACTAGAGGTCTCACAGCAAAGAAGAACTTCTGCAGAACAAACCAAGCTATCCAGTGAAGCAAGGTAGTGCTACCTTACTGACAAGTGACAATAGAAGCAACATTACATCGCTTTGGCAGGCATGCAAGTTATGAAAGTTTTGTATATGAATGCTTCCGACGCTGAATTATTCACAAATAATGCTCTTTTGCTTGGAATGAAAGAGTTAAATACTAAAAACATCCCACAGGAATGTTGATGATTAGTCCACAACTCGAGTTTTGCATGTTTCTCCTCTTCATGCAGTTAAGTCCACAGGACATAGTAGGATAGACCTATGTAGTTTGCTTCATTAGTGATGTTGATTATTGGTCGGAAATGTAAGTTACCTACAATAGTGTGACTTTGACAACTCATGCTTATGCTTACTCAGAATGCATGTCTATATGGATTTTAGGCCAGGCTCTCTCTAAACATGAGTAGAGTGCCTAGAAATTTCAATATGTTACAATGCTCAAATTTATGTTCTCTATGCTATCAGATGTATCCTGTTTAGCTCTGTGTACATAGCCACAGTGGTTAGCATTGAGATTGACTAGGGTCTAGGAATTGCTGAAATGCGTTACTTGGGTTTGTTCTAAACCACCAAGTTCATTAGGATCAATTGATTTTGGTATTCTCCAATTTAATTGATATCAGTTAATCTTTCTATGTTTTGCTTGGCAAAATTTGTATTCAAATTTTCTTTTACTAAAACCGTGATTCTGTGCTGATGCTAATCCATGATTATTGGTTATTGTGCAGGCTGTACAGCAATGGAGAAGTATAACAGCAACACTCAATTTGCACCCTTGAGAGAGTCTCCATTTCCCCTCCGTGGTAAGGACTCCTGCTCTGGTTTGTTATATGTTTTCTGTCATGTAGTTTTGAGACAACAATCAATATTACACTGAGACCCATTAGGAGATAGTTGTAGCACACTGTAATCACCCCAACTATGTTATGTTGTTCAGGATATGCTGTAATGTGAGGCTGGAAATGACACTAACATTTCATTCTGGAAGCTTAGGGGCTTATGTTGAGACGTGTAGCAGTATATCACTTACTATTTGTGTTTTGGTCCATCATATCATTAGCACAAAGGGGTGCCAGTAGTGGCCATATCTCTCCGATCATTTTACAACATGTAGTCAGAAGTTGCTCTTCCTTACCTGGAGGCAAAACTTCATGCATGCCTCGTAGCATTAATCAGTTCAGTTACATATGTTATTTTTATTTTGATTTTAGATGCATAGTTTGATATACATATCTGAATGGACTATAGTCACGTTTCTTTATGTACGCTTTGATGAAATGCACTTAGATGTCCGCCATATTTTCTTTCTCTTTTTTTTTTCTGGTTAGAGCATCTCCAAGAGCTCCTTAAAAGTCACTTGGTAAACGATGGATTATGCTAAGTGAAGAAAATGAATAAGGAGCTCTTTTTTTTGTCTTCCTTCAATAGTTACCTTCATAAAGCTCGGAAACTGGGGGGAGGGGGGTTACCGCTGGGGAGGGGCTGCCTGGGTGGGCGCAGGATTGAGACATATATTTGCGAGTTGGAGGGGAGATTTACCAAGTGCTTATAGGGAGTTGTTTTACGGAAGTGTTGGAGGGCCCATTTTGCCAAAAAAAAAAACGAATTAGGGAGTTGTTTTAAGGTACTTCTGGAATACAATGGATGTGTTAGGAAGTGTTACTTCCGATGGCTACTGCTGTTTCGCTTTTTGTTGGTGCTGCTCTGCAGCTGCAGCCGAACACAGCCAATGTTTGCAGTTCATTACATATACTTTTGCCTATCATAAATTTGGGGCCCTTATAAATTTGTCACATCCATCTTTCAGGTGCTCTTGGTAGTTCAAGCTCATATCTTGAGCAAGCCAGGGGCTACACATCTTCCCCTTTAGCAGCTCTGCGACCAAAGATGTCTACTCCTGGAAATCGACTCCTGCACACGAGCCGCCCCCTATCATCTCCTGTAGCAAACCGCCCGCTGTCGCCCCATCTTCCTCTGAAGAAGCCACAGTTCAGCGCTACTTTCTCTATCTCGCACCGTATCTTTGGAGTTGCGTTGGGAGTTGCCATCATATCCGTCCCCCTCGCCACCAAGTTCAGCCTGATGTTTGGTGTTTGAGAGTCATTTTGCTGCATCATATGAGAAACAGCATTTCCCATTTCTGTGACACTTTCATCGTCTGGATACCTTGCAACACAACTGTAGGTGCAGTTGGTATAAAACATCTTTGTCATGCTGGCAGACTTCTGTTATATAATAAGTAAAACTAGAAAATATTAGTGTAAGGAGATTTGCCCCTTTATGGATGTACATGGTTATGAGGTCTGCAGCCTGCAGGTTTGGTCGGGAAATAGTCGATTTTCATCGCAACCTATTCACTGCATGGTGTGTATCTTTGCTACGTGCCCTTAAGCTCGTCTGGAAAATTTATGGTCATTTTAGTTTCGTTTCTCAACATATATGTACGAGCTTATGTTTTGTAGGCATCATTATTATCATGAAGTGATAAGTTATTCATGTCATCAAGTGATAAAGTTATTCATGTTGTTGCGTAAGGTGTATCGATACCCAAACATCAGGTTTCTTCAGCAGCTAATTAGTAGTAAGCAGAATCTGAATTGCAGAATAATTGGAGTGCGCGTTTCACCAGCTTCGAGCTTCTCCAATTCGCTGACAGTTATATTCACAGGTTTCTTGGTTGTAGTTTATTTTTTCCGTTTTGTACAATATAATGCTGGTGATTTAAGAAATGTCATAACTCTTCACTGTAATACTAGTATTCGTGATCGACATGAACTTGAACTACAAAAAGAATGTACAAAAGATGTCAAGCATGTGTAACTATGTCTGGGAAATTATAGCACTAGTAGCGTCACTGTCCGTCGACGAAGACTCGGGTCGACTCAGCACCAGCGATCGGAGTCCGAAGTCCGAACCGGAGGCGGCAGATCTCGGCTGGGCTCGGTGCGTCCCACCACTCCGCGCGCGCCTTGAGAGCCTGGACCTCCGCTAGGCACTCCTCCGCGCCCATCCGCGCCACGCTCCGCCGCATTGCCGCGGCCTCGGCGCCAGCGACCTCGTCAAACAGCGCCTCCCACCCGCTCTCCCACTGCCCGCTGGCATCGCAGAGCTCCAGCGTGCCGTTCCGCCACTCGGTCCAGCTCCACCCGCGGTGCAGGCGCGCGACGTGCCGCGCCACGCACCCGCCGCGGCCGCGGCAGGCTGGGCGGCAGGGCCGGCACTTGGCCCCGCTCAGCGGCCCCCGGCTCCCCAGCGACGCCACGGGCACCGCGGACCTGGTCCACGGCGGGAACGAGTAGGTCTGGTCGCTGAGCACGCAGAACGGGAACCGGTGCTCCCGCGCTGGCACGCCCGCCGCGCGGAGCTGCGCGCGGAACGCGGACTCGGAGTTGAGGTCCCGGTACCCGGCCGCGGCCAGGTGCGGCAGCGCCGAGAGGCGTGGCAGCGCGGCCTCCGAGGCCGCGCGGGCGCCGGCGCCCAGGCGGTCGTTGAGGCCGCCGAACCGGGAGCCCTCGGGCACGACGTAGGCGGTCGGGTGGAAGGCGTCCTCAGGGTCAAGCGGCGCCGACCAGAAGCCGTCGACGCGCGTCCGGAGGACCCAGGCGTAGGTGAAGTTGCCACGGGACTCGCGTTCCCGGATCAAGTCCAGGCATCCCTCCACCAGATGGAAGTACTGCAGCAGACCCTGCGTGTCACAAAAATGTACGTAAGTAAAGAAAATATTCGGCATAATAGCCAGAAATGCATAACAGCTGAGCTGTCGTGAGTTTTTTTTTTTTCATACGCTCATTTTGAAAACAGCTTTGCGGTTGAAGTCGTTTTTTCTCCTCTCACAGTCACAGAGATGAGTTGGGACGAAACTGGAAAAAATAACTTATCCCAGCTCTCTTCCCTGTTTATCTCTCTCATCCATACATGAAACTGTTTTGCCAAACGATTTTTCTAAAACAGCTCAACTTCACCTAAAAAGTTACTTATAAAACTATTAAAAAAAACTTTACTACTAAAACTGAGCTGTGCCAAACAAGTCTATGACTAGCACTCAATGACTAGCACTCAATATAACATGCACCACGTGTTGACGCGCTTCTCTTACTTTGTATGCGCAATCCATGTTTAGATTTGAAAAATGCATCATGGATCATGCTTCCAGAACCAAGAATTTTTAATAGTCAAATCGCAGTGGTTTTCACATGTGCGCGGGCGCGGTGCGCGGCACGCCAGGAAGGCAAGGAACAAGCTAGCTGACCTGGATGCCCATAGGGGAGTGCTGCGCGGTGAGCGCGCGCGCCCGCGCCGGCGTCACGGCGATGTGCTCCGGCCGGAACACGCGCACGGCGGCCAGCACGACCCCGGGCGCAACGCGGGCCAGGACGGAGAGCCTGTAGGCGTCGGCGTCGAGCGGGCTGTGCACGAACACGTCGGTGGCGCCCGCGGCGAGGAGCGGCGCAAGGACGTGGCGCGCGATGGACGGGCCCGTCAGCTCGAACCGCCGGGCGCCACCCACCAGGCAGACCGCCACCCGCTGCTCGTCGCGACGCGACGGTGGCGGAGGCGGTGACGAGGAGGAGGACGAAGAAGCGTCGTCGTCGCTACGGGGCGCGAGCGCGAGGAAGGGCGAGGAATTGAAGGCGAGCTCCGAGCCCATGAAAAGGAGCAGCGGCGCGAGCACCACGGCCAGGGGGCGGCGGCTGAGGCGGCGCGAGGCGGCCGGCAGGAGGCCAGGCCCCCCGAGCGAGGTCAAGGCGGCCTTCATGGCTGGTGACTGGCGTCGGCAAGAAGGGGAGACGAGGCTATGAAGTCAGCCGGCCAGGCAGGGGACACGATCACACGACACGCCGCGGGGGTAGATACCACGAGTTGTTTGAGACTTTGGAAGGTGGAAGGAAGTCAGTCAGCAGGCACGGGCTGTTGGCATGCGGCATGGCTCTTGGGGCGTCGTCAAGCCTCCATCTGAGGCGGCTAGCTCCTGCTGATGCTTCGGCGCTCTCTGCAGTCTGCACACGCAGGTCCCATCCGAGCTAAGACAAGTGAAACACTAGCTAAGAGGGTGTTTGATCCTCCTCAACTAAACTTTACGCTCTCCCATCGAATATCTGGATATATGTACGGAGTATTAAATATAGACTAATTATAAAACAAATTGCACAGTTTATGACTAATTTGCGAGACGAATCTTTTAATCCTAATTAGCACATGATCTGACAATATGGTGCTACAGTAACATGTGCTAATGACAGATTAATTAGGCTTAACAAATTCTTCAGTGGAGTACTGACAGATTCCCCATACGACACCCTCACATGACACCTCCTAAATTTTAGCGGGTCCAGACACCGCCTAACATTGTGCCGACACGATTCATGCGCTGGACGACCTGGCTGTACACGAGTCAAGCCCAATGGATTCAGGATAAGTTACCAGTCACTCGTACGAAAACCTCGTTAACGGGTCTCTCTGGGCGTGTTTGTTTGCGTGTACTAGTTGCGCCTGTCCCGTTCAGCAGAGCCAGGTCCATCAAATGCAGGTTCAAAAGGTGCAACTTGCTGTGTTTGTTTGTTTTTCTCTACACAACCAGGCTAGCTGGAGATCATGTTTGGTAGACTGAACAAATGAATCCACTCACCCTGCATCAGCTATGGTAGAGTTACCGCTACCCACGTCTATCTTCTTCCTTGAATCTCAGCACTACTATTTTACTTAGACATTTTCACAAACACCTTGCATACGAGCCGGGGTGTGAGAGGGAGATGTGGCTAGAGACGGAGAGGGAGACCGCAGGGGGCGGGCGGGGTCGCTGTAGAGCCGTCGACGGAGGTGCTGTGGCGGCGGGGTTGTGCTCCCAGTCCCAGGCGGCGACGGCACGGGGTTTTCTGCATCGGCGACGGGGAAGGCAGCCACGACGACTCCGCCAGGGAGGTGCTCTCCTCGCCGTCTCCGTCGACGTAGTACCTCACCGGCGAGAGCCCCCGGTCGCTGACCCCACGGCGGCACGAGCGTCGCGGCGGGGACGGTGGCGGCAGAGCGGCCTCCCTGTCCTTCCTCCTCCAGCGGGCGGCGCGCGGCACGATCCCCGCGAGCCGGGAGGAGGACCTGTACCTCCGCTCCTTGTCGCCGTGTCTGTCGTCGTCCGTTCTGTGGCCGAAGAGCGCGGCGAGCACGGAGAACCTGCTGCGCCGCCTCCAGAACAACCCGATGTCGCCATCCTCCAACCCGGCAGCTGCTCCTGACCCAGCGCCGTACGCGAGGCCGACTGGTGACAGGGTGAGGGAGGTGAGGGAGGGGGAGGGGAAAGGGGAGGACGGAGCTCGGATGCGCCGGAGATGGCGTCCTTGGGCACCGGTGACAGGGTGGGAGGGAGCCGGAGACGGGGCAGAGGATGGAGTCGGAGGGCGAGCGCGGTGGGTGAGAGGAGGGCGCGGTGACGCGAAGCAGCGTGAGCGGTCGAGAGAGCCGGGCTCCAGAGAAACGACCCCCACCTTCGTTTGTCTGGAGCCAGGCTCCCAGCTGCTTTGAGCAGCGTGCGGTGCAGGCCTAAAAGGTGTCCAGGCAAACAAACAAGACTCCTGCACGTCTTGGGCCTAGCTCAGCTCCTCGTAACAAACACGCCCTCTACTTTTGAGGAGATACAATATTTGTATCTCTATCTTGGCCTTCGTTAATAGGAATGGAACCATCCCCTATTTTTTGAGATGAGATCATCCCATTCCAGTATCTCGTCTTCTTCACGCGGAAGACTCTGCCGCTGCCTGCTCGGGCCTCTCTGCTAAAGATGTGCATGCAGCCCGTGGGCCAAAGGCCCGGCCCAAAGCACGGTTATTGGGCCTGACCCGAGCACGGCACGGTCCGAACCCTAACCGGGCCCGTGCCGGCCCGAAGCCCGTAGCAGGCCGGGCTTGGGCTGAGGCCTCGGCCCGCCGGGCGGCACGGCACGGCCCGTTTTACAACGGCCGGCCCGGTGGAGGCCCGTTTTAATTTACTGAGCTGGTCGTACTATTTTTCTTTCTAGGGTTTTATCTCACGAGGTGTGAGTTTTACATAGAATGATTTTTAATGAGGCGGCATTGCATAAAAAGCTCAAATCTTTTGTCATCTGGTGTTTCTGTGATTGTTAAATATGAATATGTGATCCTGTGATTGTGCTGTTAAATATGGTGTTTACTGTGTAACGGGCTATGGGCTGGCCCGATGGACCAGTGGGCCGCGGGCTCAACGGGCTGGCACGGCCCGATATTTGGCCCACGGACCGTGCCTGGGCCGTCCGACAGGCACGGTGGACTGTTCAGGCACGGTCCGATGGCCCGGCGGGCCAAAAGGGCCCGAGCCCGATCGGGCCGTGCCTAGCCCGGGCTCAGGCCGTGCCATGCCGTGCCGGCCCGTTGCTCATCTTTACTCTCTGCTTCCTTTGCTCGCGCTTCTCTGCCTCCTCTATTCACACCAGACTAACTTCTCGGAGACGTCACTTGCCTCGTCCTACAACTGAGCCGGCCCTCTGCCATAGCCGAGCTGCACCGAAGCTCTACATCCCCACCTGATCTCTCCCTCCACCTCGGCCACGCCTAATCTCTCTCTCCTGCCATCCGAGCTCGTTCTCCCACCAATAGGTAGTAGTTGTGGCTGCCTAAGCTTATTATCCACAATCTAAGCTTGTCAGTCCGCTAGCAGCCGTGTCCGAGCTCGCCCAACACCTGCAGCCGCCAGATGTCATTGTCCGCCCATGATATGCTCAGCTGCCGCGACAAAGAAACATATAGAGACAACATGAAGCGTGTTCGGCTTGCCGGCTGGCCAGCCACCTCACAGAATCACTGTTCATGTCCTGTCAGAACAGTATTTTTCTCTCATAACAATCAGCTGGAACAGTATTTTTCAGTCCTGCCGAACAGGCCCATGAACGAGGGACCAAACCTGTCCCCTCGTCTTCGAGGAACAACTGAACAGGGTAGCCTCTTTTTGCCAAATCTTCTCACCCCATCCTCCAAACCAAACACATATAAAGAGAAATGATTTGAAACTGGAACATCAGTTTAACAAGACAAAGGGTGGTGATGACGGGAGCTAGCATCCAAGTTAGGTAAAGGATGGCAGGTCAGGGAAGGGAATGAAATCTGGAGATTTGGAGGAGTAAGAACAAAATGGTTTAAGATCTCCATTGGATGGTTAGGATCCAGAATCCATCAGGAAACCTTGGGATCGGATAAAACAAATGGCACTAGTAGTATGTATCTGCAAGTGTCAAACGCGTTCGCTTACCTTCGATGCATGCATGATATGTACCACCATGGCACCATGTGCTTTAGCCAGTAATAAATCGCCTATGTTTGGAATAAGAAAATGCATCGTCGAGAACCCTAAGAGCAACTCCAATTCAAGAAATTGAGTAAATGTATTTGTAAAGCCATTTATAGCTATTGTGTTCAAAAAAAAGTATTTCACGGGGTATCCCTCTATCCTCGCGAGCCATATTTCCCTAGCCAAGTCCTGCTTACTATTTATTGTGGTGGACGAAGGCAGGAAGCCTATTGGATATCTGTGAAAAATCTGATGGCGTGGCAGTTTTAAATATGGACAAGAGAATTTAGCTAGGCTGTTGTCAAACTTTACCTTTTAGATGGACTTTCTATTTTACATTATAGCTAAATCTTACAATTTAGCATCTAATTTTACTTTGAGTTGCTCTAAAGTAGTAGTAGTAATATTCTACTGGCAGAAATAAACATTGTTATACGCTAGCGTTGATACCGGTGCGGTATTTTCTCCCGCATGCATGTGCGCACGCCGTGGGCGTTCGGTGAGCAGCCCGGCTGGCTGGGGCACGGTAAGGCATGGCAATGGCATGCGAGCGAGGCAAGCAAACTGACCTGGACACCTTTGGGCGAGTTGAGCCCGGTGAGCGCTCGTGCGCGATCCGGCGTCACGGCGATGTGCTCTGGCCGGAACACGCGCACGGTGGCCAGTGTGGTCCCCGGCGGCGCGGTGCGGGCCAGAACGGAGAGCTTGTAGGCGTCGGCGTTGAGCGGGCTGTGCAGGAACACGTCGGTGTCGCCCGGGGGTAGCGCGCCCAGCACGTGGCGCGCGATGGACGGGCCCGTCAGCTCGAACCGCCGCGCGCCGCCCACCAGGCACACCGCCACCCGTTGGGGAAGCGGTTGCGGCTGCGGCTGCTCCTTCTCCAGACGCGGTGGCGGTGGCGGTGGCGGAGGAGGCCTAGGCAGCGTCGGGGACGATGACGTTGAAGAAGGGGTGCCGTCGTCGTCACGAGGCGCTAGTAACTGGAGCTGGTTGAGGCGGGTCGAGGAGGGGAAGGCAATCTCAACGGCGAGGAAGAGGAGCAGCGGCTTGAGCACCGCGGCCACCCGACGCCGGCGCGAGGCGACGTGCGGAACCGGGAATAGGCCAGGCTCTCCGAACGAGGCCATGGAGGCGGCGGGCTTCACGTCCGGCGCGCGCACGATGTGCTCTCTGTGACACGACACTACGCCAAGGAGGAGCAAACGCTCGCGGCCACCAAGAAGAGAAGAGCGGAGGTTATGAAGCGACGACGGGTCGCGAGTCGCAGCTCGCGCAGCGGCACGAGGGATCGAAGCTTCGACGCTGTTTGGGTCTCTGCAAGGGTGGAGTTCACGAAGCTGTTGGCTGCGTGGAGAACTGGAGATCGAAGGATGGCAAGCGTCCACCTGAGGAGTGAGGAGGCTGCCATTGCAGGAAGGCTCCGCCTCTTGCGCTGACCTGCGCGGCAGAGGCAGGTCTCATCTGGGACTGGGACAAGGAAACTGCAATGCAAGTTTCGCTACGGTTACACGGATACGCGACTAGTGACATTTCCTTTCAGAAATTAGAGAACCTCTACTGGGCACGAATCCACTGGGCGAGTTTGGATTGACGCTAGCTAATAACCAAGCCATAGCCAAATCAGGACAAGGTAAATTTTGTTTAATTTTGTCACGAGACATGTCTGAACCATGCCAAATTAAAATACTAAACCATACTAAAATTTTAATAGCTATGTCATGCAAGACCCAAATATTACACCAAAATATGGTTAATATAGGGGTTTTGATGTGTAGATTTAATTGCAAAGAATACAAAAATATTACATCCAATTTAAATTACACGTTGAATGGGATGATGCATAAAAAGCTTGGTATGACAAAAAAAAACAATCATATCAAATGCAATGGTCGATTTGGTGGCCTAGATGTCGCTTGTGCTGCCCTATTCTCTCGCCAGACAAATTTTCTGGCACTTTAAAATTTAGTGGTAAAGATAAATATTGACCAAATTATCGAGGCATGACCGAAGTTTTAGGCCTCAATGGGGAGAGCTCCGCTTCCTGATTCTTCAACTCTACTCCTTAATTCCTTGATGGAGTGATTCCATTGGATTAGGGAGCAGGCTAACAAGCTGAAGAGAACTGATTATTTGTTGATCCTCACCAGAATATAACAAAGAGCGGGGTGAATCAGGTTTTTTAGCACCCAGCTCCTAAAGTAAATATAGAAGCCATCCTCTCCTGATTCTCACTTGAATCAGTTGACATTTTGAATGTTTGACTGGTTAAGAGTGATTCTCTTCGGAGAAGCTGAAGCTCTCCCAAACGGCACCTTACTTGGCACCTAGATGTCACAAACGAAATATGTCCATGATCCAATACAATTCTTTGATGATCGAAACTATAATAAGAGAAATATAGCTTGGACTAAAGATGTGAATTTTCGTAATGACTAGCATGAAGTAGAATTAGCCCACCTAATAAGTCCTTGTTACGTTGTGAAGTAAAATAATCCCCTCAAATCCATATGTATCATGAGAAATTCAGTTTATTCCTGCTCCAAATTCCAAACAATATGACGTTCGGAAATGGGTTTATCTACACAAAGCCACAAACGTTTTCATTCAAAAGTGACATTTTCGGGTGGTGTACATTTTGTGGTGATGGCCATTATGTTAGATAATACGTTTCATGCTACTCCCTTAACTCTAAAATATATGACGTTTAGAATAAGCTAATTAGTTTGAGATTAAAAGTAAACTAATTAGCTTGTCCTAAATGTAATGTATCTAAACCCAGCTAGTAAATGAAATAAAAAAAAAGAAATAAGGAAGATGGAAGTGTTTGTAAAAAATTACAAAGCATACTCGGATAGAGTAACTGAGCAAGGGTTGTGTCAAGTGTGCAGCATGGCTGCATGGGCCCGTTTATATAGTAGGAAAAGTTAAAAGAACACCTCCCAACGGATCGGTAATAGACTTCCGTGACTGTGCGGGATGGGTTTGTCGAATAATCGAATATAATGCGATTTCAGCTCGTCCAAATTAAACGACCCACCACAACGCTGAGCATAAGTTGACTTCAAGACGTGTTGCGCATATATGCCGGCAGTAAGTTCGAAACTGGTGAATATCTGGAGGAGGGTAGACGCAGGTCAGGTAGCAACTATTTTTTAGCATATTCTAAGCAGCCTAATAAGAAAACTGGTTAAAAAGCGTTACTAATTGAGCAATGAAACTTTTCTCTTTCATTTTAAATTGTAAGTCGTTCCGGAGTGTATTTTAAAGACCGGCAAGCGGTTGATCTGCAAGATAAATACTATAGAAAATAGCAACATATATTCGTTATTCGATGTCGTCGTTCACGTGATACCATGTATGGATGTACCAGACCCGAAGCATGATGCTAAATTGCTAATAACTGGTGCACTCACCCACCAAAAGGAGAATGCAATAACGGAGGGAACGAGCTCGATGATAAAATCGCTTTTATACTGTTATCAAGAAGTTCCTGAACTGATACATACTGTCACGAATAACTTTAATTAGCCTCTGTAAAGTCTAAGTATACTATGTAAGGAGCAAACATCGTCTGTTCGTTTCGCTGAAATTTAGCTTATGTTGATGTTTAAACTGATTTATTGTGAGATAAAAATATTGTTCGTTCGCTGAAAAGTACTGCCGCCAATTGTATTAGGCCGCCAATTGTATTAGGGTAACGTGACTTTTTTCTCCAGCAAACCGTACCCTTAATGGCTTTCTCTGTGTTTTTTTAGCCGTGTGCGGGGACGACCACTAGTGCGGAGCGACGTGGTGGGCTACCACATGCCGTGTGTGTATATATTCAGGAGCCAGCTTTCTATAGCCATCTTTATTTACGATAATTTTATATACTAATTTACGATAATGTCAATACATATTTACGATAGTTGGGTTACTATAACACATGGAGATATTCCACTTAGTAAGGAGTTAATATAATCTCATAAATTAATATAGTAATTATCGTAACTCAAAGTGACTACATAATAAGTTATTTTGTAGCCAGCTACAGGGTAGTAGTTATATATATATAGGGAGAGTATATTCAGTAACCAGATACAAAATAAGTTATTATGTAGCCATCTCCATTTACGATAATTTTATATACTCCCTCCGGTTCTCTAAAGCAAGTCGTTTTGAGGTTGTCTTAAGTCAAACATTTTAAACTTTGACTACAAATAACTTTTTTGGGTTGAATTTGAAAATATAAAAGTGATGTAAGTAGATTCATCTCGAAATGTAGTTTCATAAAAGTATATATTGACTATATTTTATAAATATTTTATAGCAAAAAGTAGCGGTCAAAGTCGTTTCTTAAAGACCGTGTCGATGTCCAAAACGACTTGCTTTAGAGAACCGGAGGGAGTACTAATTTACGATAATGTCAATACATATTTACGGTAGTTGGGTTATTATAACACATGGGGATATTTACCATAACGTTATAGTAAACCACTTATTAAGGAGTTACTATATATATATATAGAACTACTGCCCTGTAGCTGGCTACATGTATAAAATAACTTATTCTGTAGCCACTTTGAGTTACGATAATTATTATGCTAATTTATATGATTATAATAACTCCTTACTAAGTGGTTTACTATAATGTTACGGTAAATATCCTCATGTGTTATAGTAACATAATTATCGTAAATATGTATTCACTTTATCGTAAATTAAGTATACAAAATATCGTAAATGGAGGTGGCTAGAAAATAACTTATTCTATAGCTAGCTACCGAATATACTTTCCATATATATATATATATACACATATATATATATATACATATATATATACATATATACATATATATATATATATTTATTTAAAAGCCAAAAAGATGGCCAGCTCCTCGGCCTGTGCCTCTATACACGTCGGCTTACATGTTTTACACCGCGCGATCTGTTGGTTGACGGCCACCGTGCCTCTTGTTTTGTTGGTAGGTGGGTGCCTGATTCTCTAACTGTTCTCTCCTCTTACCTTTGAGCTTCTCGGTTTGGCTTCTGTCCGAATCCACTTCGCCTTTGTTTCGTGACCTTGCCTTCCGATTCGGCTAGCAATAATTAAGTCCTCGCTTCTCCCCAATTGGCTCTGTCATTTCTCTTCCCTTCCCTCGGCTGTTGCTCATTGCTTCCTCTCTCTCCTTCTTCCGCCTCCTTCCACGCTGGCTTCTTTATCTGTTGCCGCTGCTGCTGCTCCTCCTCGGCCTCGCACGCCAAGAGAGCTTCACACACCACCAGGGGCTGGGGTGCGGGCCCAGCTCCGCCTCCTTGGGGCTGCCCAAAGATTCTCACTGGAGCCATCGTCGGGCTCTGCGGACGGCGGTCAGCGTTCCGCCGTCCGTGGAAGCGGTTGTTCCTTGGAGAGCCTCGGCTGTCATCTTCGCTGGCTCTCTTCATCTTATCCACCCTTCTGCGCTACATGCGGTCCGGTTCGCTCTTGGTGTGCCAATGTCCGATTTGGTTGCTTCGTTGCCCCGTAGGTTCCCTCGTCGTTGCTGCTGCGTTCATTGTCGACACACGCCCTACGAGTTGTGGCGTGGGTCGTTGCTCTCGCCCGTTCGACCACGCGTCTGCCACCACGAGAATCTCGCCGTCTTCCGGTTGGTGCGCGTCGTCCGAGCTTGGTGCGCTGTGATTTTATTCACCTGCCTCCGTCTCATTGTGTGTTATAGATGCGTTTGGTTCTCTGCTTCCTATGCCCTTGCTCGATAAGACCGCTCCGTTCCCCTGCAGTTCCCCGTCGGCGCCGTTGTTGTCCCCTGTTGGTTGCTGTTCTTTCCAGTCCGTTCTTCACCCGCTTTGCCTTGTGCGTCTCCTTTTCTTATGTTCATCTAAGATATTATACATCCTCACTGATGCAGCATTTTGGGTTTCTTATCTTGCACGAACGTCATGTTCGTGTAGGCTTGCGTGAGTTTGGAATTTTAAAAAAAGGGGGTTCTGTGTGTTTTGGACAAAACATCAAAAACAAGAGAAAAAATGTTCTGTTTCCGCATGTCCTACTTAGCTGTTTTACAGGCTGTGGTGCAGCATTGCTGCCTTTCTTATGTCTCCGTTATACGGCAGACAGTAGAGGATGGGACTAATTTGTATGGTG